GGACGTGCTCTAGCCCGCAATGCTGGGGAAGCGGTTGTGGGCTGCCTGGGGCCCGTGTATGGCTGGAAGGGAGGCTGCCGGGGGGCTCTGAGACCCTTACCCTGGAGCAGGTCATCACCCACATCAAAGGAACGAAGTGAGAATTCGGTCACGCTTAAACTGTTGAATTGTTGACAAAACCCCAAGGTAATGAAATAGCATAGAAAATGGATGTGATTCGATTTTTCAGTCGTAATTAGATTAACATTGTCATGAGTTACCAGCCTGATATATCCAATAAATCAGACGTTGAGCTGATTTATCTTTTATCACTTCTAGGGACTTACTCTGCACAGTAACTCACAAACCATCCCCAAATCAGAGCTGGTGGGATGAGCTCCCAGCGAGCTTTAGGAAGTTTGTTGGTTTGGGGAAGACAGCCCCCCTTGGCTGGGCTCAGGTGTTTTCTTTCTTTTATTTTTATTTTTTGGAGACAGAGTCTCGCTCTGTCATCCAGGCTGGAATGTACTGGCACCATCCCGGCTCACTGCAACCTTCGCCTCCCGAGTTCAAGCAATTCTCGTGGTTCAGCCCCCTGAGCAGCATGGACTCCAGGCGCCCACCACCACGCCCAGCTAATTTTTGTATTTTTAGTAGAGATGGGTTTTCACCATGTTGGCCAGGCTGGTCACGAACTCCTGACCTTAGGTGATCCACCACCTTGGCCTCCCAAAGTGCTGGGATTTCAGGTGTGAGACACCGTGTCCGGCTGGGTGTTTAATTTCTTTGTCCGCTGTTTCCAGCACTGTGAGTGCAGGCCCGCTGTCAGAGTACAGAGAGCGGGGCCCTACCCTTGAACTGTTCCTGGCCGGGCTCCTAGCCAGCACCGGGCTTAGGGAGCAGGGCCCTCCAGTGTCATTCCAGGCCAGGGAGGTTGTGATGAATATTGTTCTCAACAGAGGGTCCCCAGGGCACTGATGCCACTACTGAGGATCTTAAATAGTAAGAAACTTCAGGCTGGGTGTGAGGGCCCACACCTGGAATCCCAGCACTTTGGGAGGCCGAAGTGGGAGGATTGCTTGAGCGCAGGAGTTCGAGACCAGCCAGGGCAACATAGCAAGACCCTGTTTCTACAAAAAGTGTTTTAAAAAGTAGCTGAGCATGGTGGCATGCACCTGTGGTCCCAGCTACTCAGGAGGCTGAGGTGGGAGGATTGTTCCAGCCAAAGGGGCCGAGGTTGCAGTCAGCTGTGATTGTGCCACTGCAGTCCGCCCTGGGTGACAGAGGGACACCCTGTCTCCAATAAGAAACTAACAATGAAAACCTTTATTTTGAAGAATCTGACCAGTTCTCTAGCTGGCCCTTGAGTGAAAAATAACACAATGCAAAGTAGGTGGCAGATTGGTTCTCCGGCAGTCCCCGGAGACCCTGGTCTCCCACATCTGACTCGGGGAAGAGTGCAGTGACATGAACAGCATTCTGGTCTGGGTCAGCTTGTAACTGTGTACTCCCCCACACCAGCCAGCCCTCTCCTAACTCTGTGACCCCCCAGCCCAGGAATAGGGCTCCTCAAGGCCCCGGGAACCAGCCCACTGTCCTCGTGGATGTGCCTGGAAGCTGCTGTGCCCCACGCCCCATGGGACTTTCTCCTGAAGACAGCACCTGTGCTACCTACCCGAGTTCGCTCTCTGAATCTGGCCCTTAAGTTCAAGGTCCTAGGAACTTAACGCAAGGGATGCTCTTTCTCCCTTTAGCTACCAAGTCACGTGCTTGGTCTTTGGGAATTTCGGGAAATATTTAGGTTGGTGCAGAAGTCATTGTGGTTTTTGCAATTAATTGCAAAATGAAAAATGAATGTGTAGACATCAGGCTTGCGTAGGGAGATGACCACAGGCCTCACCTGGTGTCACTCCTGAGCAGGGGGAGGTCCTGATGTGAGTGCCCCACTTCTTTTTTGTTGTTTTTGTTTGTTTGTTTTGTTTTTGGAGACAGAGTCTCATTCTGTCGCCCAGGCTGGAGTGCAGTGGCGTGATCTTGGCTCACTGCAACCTCTGCCTCCTGGGTTCAGGCAATTCTCCTGCCTCGGCCTCCTCAATAGCTGGGATTACAGGCATCTGCCACCATGCCCAGCTAATTTTTGTATTTTTAGTAGAGACGGGGTTTTACCATGTTGGCCAGGATGCTCTCGATCTCCTGACCTTGTGATCCACCCACCTTGGCCTCCCAAAGTGCTAGGATTACAGGCGTGAGCCATCGCACCCAGCCAATGTCCCGCTTTTTTTATGAATCCCAACCCAGTACTGTGTCCCTTCCCCACCCCCAGCTACCCATATACACACCTCCCTTTCCTTGCAGGCCCGTCTCCACCACAGCTCCCCACTCCTGACTTAGCATATGTTTGTTTCTTACCTTTCTTGCTGCGTGAGGATGTAAGTTGCATGAATTCAGAAACATGTCTTGTATTTTGTGAATGAAAGAGCAGCTGGCATGTATCAGGTACTGAAATATTTGTGGAGGGAATGATAAATCTCAGTTCAGGGCACTCAGTGTGGGCTGGGCTGCGTGGAACAGCCCATTGGTGGCCACGGAGCGTGGCCAGCCATTCCCAGGATAGGAATGTGACTCTTAGTCACTCTCTTTTACAAATATGTGCTTATTAAAATGGTGTCCAGGGGTTCCCAAGTGGTGTTTAAATCATGAATGCAAACGCCAGAGGCTCTGAAGTTTGAAGTCTTTTTTTTTTTTTTTCTTTTTCTTTTTGAGACAGAGTCTCGTTCTGTTGCCCAGGCTGGAGTGCAGGGGCGCGATCTCAGCTTGTGCAACCTCCGCCTTCCAGGTTCGAGCGATTCTCCTACCTCAGCCTCCCCAGGGTAGCTGGGATTATAGGCGCCTGCCACCGTGCTCGGTTAATTTTTTGAATTTTTAATAGAGACGGGGGTTTCACCATGTTGGTCAGGCTGTTCTTGAACTCCTGACCCCACGTGATCCTCCATCTCAGCCTCCCACAGTGCTGGGCTTACAGGCGTGAGCCACTGCGCCCGGCCAGGTTTCAAGTGTTGACTCTAGTAAAGCCAGGGAGATTTTGCTTAGCCACATTAGTAGGAGGGAAAATTAGCTGTTGCTTTCTGTATTCACCAAGATGGCCTAAAATAAGAAAGCAGAAAAGGGAAGAACCTTTTGCCAAAACCCATGAGGTTGTCCAAGTCGATCTTGGCGGGTATTTTCTTGCCTATGGATTGCTAGACTTTTCCTCTACCTGCATTTGAGGCTGACATGTGTGACTCAGCCCCGGCCAAGCACTTACCAGTAAAAAGTAGTTTCCCCGGAGAGCTCTCTCTTCCTCGGTGGCTGTGAGTGCCGACAGCTTCCACTGTAAGTGAGAAAAACTGAGTGTGCCCCAGCTGCCCCGTTTTTCTCACCAAGGTATTATGAGCTGGTGGGAAGGCCAGGAGCTGGGGCAGCCGCTTTAGAATTAGTGTGAGATACAGGAGAACAAGCCCCTGGGCCTCCTGAATTTCCTCATTTGCACAACAGGGACAGGTATTTATCGATTGATTGATTGATTGATTGATTGATTGAGATGCAGTCTTGCTCTGTTGCCCAGGCTGGAGTTCAGTGGCTTGATCTCGGCTCACTGCAACCTCCGCCTCCCAGGCTCAGGTGATTCTCGTGTCTCAGCCTCCTGAGTAGCTGGGATTACCGGCACAGGCTACCATGCCCGGCTAATTTTTGTATTTTGAGTGGAGATGAGGTTTCACCATGTTGGCCAGGCTGGTCTCGAACTGCTGACCTGAAACCATCTGCCTGCCTCGGCCTCCCGCAGTGCTGGGATTCCAGGTGTGAACCACCACTGCCCTTGACCAACAGGGATAGTTTCAGTCCCCTTTCTGGGTGGTATCAGGACACCTACAGAGGTGTGGGTCTAAGCGCCTTGTGAGTGTCCATGTCCTGTGCTCAAGGAAAGCACCAGTCATTCGTTCGTGCATTCATTCACCCAACAGTTACTGATGGCCCACCTCAACAGGAAGGAATGTTACATACAGCCACTAAAAGGTGAAGTCACCAACGCTGTTCAGAAGGATGGAGTTGTTTATGTCATTGGCTGTGTGGCCACGTCTGCTGAGGACATAGGATGGATTTATAAGTGTTTTGAATATAAGATCTTTCTTTAATGCTGTTATATTTGGTTGCCTTAAAATAATTATTCTTTGGGTGGCAACCTCTTAGAAAAAGAAAGAGAAGGCCGGGCGCGATGGCTCATGCTTATAATTTCAGCACTTTGGGAGGCCAAGGCAGGCGGATCACGAGGTCAAGAGAACGAGACCATCCTGGCCAACATGGTGAAACTCCATCTCTACTTAAAAAATACAAAAATTAGCTGGGTGTCATGGCGTGTGCCTGTAGTCCCAGCTACTCGGGAGGCTGAGGCAGGAGAATTGCTTGAACCCGGCAGGCGGAGGTTGCAGTGAGCCGAGGTCGTGCCATTGCACTCCAGCCTGGCAACAGAGCAAGAATCCGTCTCGAAAAAGAAAGAGAAAAGCAGCCATTTGCATAAAACTTAGCCCAGGTGTGGAACCCTCCCTAACACCCCTTCCACCCTCCCGCCAGTTGTTACTCCCTCTGTGGCATAAGGTGGCCCTGTCCTTTTCCTCTGTCCCCACCCTGGGGTGACCTGGGCCCATGGCCACTGACTGCAGTAAACAATTATATGTGAGTCTGTTTTCGTTTGCATTGCTGTAAAGAAATACCTGAGGCTGAGTCATTTATAAAGAAAAGAGGTTTACTTGGCTCATGGTTCTGCAGGTTGTACAAGAAGCATAACCCCAGCACCTGCTGCTGGTGAGGCCTCAGGAAGCTTCCAGTCATGATGGAAGGCAAAAGAGGACATGGCGAGAGAGAGAGAGAGAGAGAGAGAGAGAGAGAGAGAGAGAGAGAGAGAACAGGAGGTGCGAGGTCCCAGACTCTTTTAAGCAGGCAGATCTCATCAGAACTGAGAGCAAGAACTCACTCAGTACCAGGAGGAGAGTATTAAGGCATTCACGAGCCACCTGCCCTCATGGCCCAAACACCTCCCACCAGGTCCCACCTCCAACACTGGGGATCACGTTTCAACATGAAATTTGTAGGGACACTAACCGGGCCTGTGGCGTGTGCCTGTAATCTCAGTTACTCCAGAGGCAGAGACAGAAGAATCACTTGAACCCGGGAGGCAGAGGTTGCCGTGAGCTAAGATTGCACTACTGCACTCCAGCCTGGGTGACAGAGCAAGATTCTGTCTCAAAAAAATAAAAATTGGAAAAGACAGATGTCCAAACCATGTCATTTTCCATCATGGCTATTAGACTATCAGGCGTTGAAAGTGGACCCGTATTTGATTTCTCTTTATTTCCTCATTGTTGAACACATGGGTGTGCCTCATATGGACGGGACGAGTGGCTGATTGACCTTTTCAAACCTGTGTCCCGATGATCTGTACAGTGTACCCACCCTATGCGATTGCCGTGGGACAATGTGTATGAAAACCTGGATTTGCAGCCAGTACACAAAGGATGGTGTAAATCTCTTCTGTGCTTTGTAGATTTCATTTTTGTTTTTGTTTTTTTTGAGACAGAGTCTTGCTCTGTTGCCAGGCTGGAGTGCAGCGGTGCGATCTTGGCTCACTGTAACCTCTGACTCCCTGCTTCAAGCAATTCTCCTGCCTCAGCCTCCTGAGTAGCTGGGATTACAGGCACACGCCACCACGCCCAGCTAATTTTCCCCCCTTTTAGTAGAGACATGGTTTCACCATGTTGGCCAGGACGGTCTCTATCTCCTGACCTTGTGATCCGCCTGGCTCGGCCTCCCAGAGTGCTGGGATTACAGGCGTGAGCCACCGCGCCCGGCCATGTAGATTTTATTTTTGAACGCTCAGATTGTTCCCCAGCAAAAAAAAAAATAATAATAAATGCTTGCAACAAGAATCTGCCCTGCCCTGTCTCAGGCGAGCTGTGGTGTGCATGTCCTACAGGGCCGAGCTGTGAAGGGTACGCGCTCCCTGGGTTGTACCTGGGTGATGGCATCCCTCCTGGCACGGGTGCAGACAGGCAGTTGGGAGGCGACATCAGCCTGGGAAAACTAGATGTCACTGAAAAGTGCTGGAGGTAGCCGGCGTGTGCAAAACCCCAGTTGTAAAAACAGCGCGTTCTCAGTACAAAATGAGCACAGTTAAAAATAATCCGCGCCAGAAGAAATATATTTGAATCCAAGGGCACGGCAAACAGTTTTGCAAGGTATTAAGATCGCATTAATCTTAATTTTACTATATATTAAAGTTTTTAACTTTTCAAATAATGCTGTTTTCGTTGTTTTAAAACGTCTGAGAGTTATAGAGGTATGTGGTGTGGCTGTCAGGCAAGGACTCCTGCCATTTATGGGGGCCCTGGTTTTATTTAATAGCCAGATGAATGGAATAGTTAATAAAAGAAATATTGCTTTATTCCCTGACATTTATGTCCTTGGTTTCCAATAAAGAATTGAAATTATGAATAGTTGATGGTTTAAATTGATGTTTTATGTTGAACGCTAGCTATAATTTGCCCTCTGAGGATTGTAATACCGAGAAACAGATGGTTCCTCACAGTAACAAATTGCTGTGTGTATACAGCCTGTAGTCTTGGCTTTCAGATACTTTCACCTTCGGTTTTGAGCTGGTCTGCAGACGGGGGCGCGGGAGGGGAGAGATCAGCCTCTGGAGGAAGGGGTTTCCTGCCCGCGGGGAGACAGAGACAGGCCCTGGGGGCTCAGGGAACCTGGGGAGTGCAGCTGGCCTGGGATGCCACCGGTACCTGCACTGAGCTTTGGTGTCAGTACCTGGTGCCAAGGAGAGCGCTCTGTCCAAGGTCACTGTGGCAGCTGCGAGGTAGTGCCGGCAGGACTGCTGTGCATGTGGCCGTCTGAAAACTCCACATCCTCCTAGAACAGCCAGGAAAATGCCATGGAGACTTGGTGCCAGATTTTCCAGGTGCCTGACAGTGGAGAGGTTAAGAGCTTGGATTCCGGAGACCAGCGGCTGGGCCACTTTGGGGGAAGTTTCCCGAATTCCCACATTGCAGTTTCCTCATCTGTAGAATGTGTATAAGAGCAAAAGCCACCGCCCTGTTCTGAGGATTAAATGAGACCGTTTCTCTAACACAACACTGAGCCTGGTTCCTGACAGGTAATGGTGTAACGAAACTTACAAAGCAGATTGATGTGGTATGATTCCTGATGTTACAAAAGCTTCCTTGTTTTTCAGAGGGAGTTCCCACAGGGGTTCTTTAGAAAGGCAGTGCATTAAGGTTGCAGAAATTTACTTTCCGCAACGTTTTAAAGGAACACAGCTTCAATGACAGCAAGGTACCTGAAACAGGAGCCGTTCCAGAGTGCCTCTGTTGTGCTGGCCTTTGAGACCTGCCGCTCCTGACTGCGGGGACCTGGACTGCCCCAGATCTGCCTGTCAGAAGCCGGGAGTTGTTAAACTGGTGAAATTTAACACCACTGTGAAGAGCCCCTCGCAGACAATTCAGGAACACTTAACAGATAGAAAACGTGGGCCTGGTTTTAAGGTGCAATTCTGCACAAGTGTTAACAGCAAGAGACGGAATTGGTAACGAGGCACTGGGGTCAGATCTTTATATGTTTGTCAGATTTCACCAGTGAGATCAGTAGTTCTGTCTTCTCCAAGAGGAGTTTGGAATTTAGTGTTTTTCCTTCTTTGGGTTATTTCCCAAGAGCTTGTTTTCAAGACACGTATTTATTTAGAATACAGGGCTCTTTTCCATAAGGAAAGAAAATGTTACAGAAGCGAACTCTTGGTTAATTGAATAAGAAACCTGTTCATCTCATGACTCACTCGAGAGAGAGCTGGCAGCACTTCCTGAATGTCGATTGCAGGCGGCACTGCATCCTTTCACTTCACTTCCGAGGAGGGTGAGGGTTGCGGGCCCCCCCGGCCCATCGCTGTGTTGGTGAGCCTCTGTGGAGGAACCTGTATGAGCTCTGAGCCGTTCTCTCTCGCGTGCCACTGCCGGGAAGTGTGCCCTCCCTCCACTTGGGATCCACGTCTCGCACAGAACCAAGCATTAACTAGTGGTGGTTTGGAGGTGGGAGGAAACAGATTATAAGGACCATTGAGTTGACGTAAGACCAGGACCCGACTCCGGACCCTAGCAGAGCAGAGTCTTTAGCTTCTGTAACATGAGACTGTAGAGCTCTAGAATGTTCCTTCCCCAACTCCAAGCTGACTCTATCAAGGGCCCTGCAGGGTCCTTCAGCGGCTCCCTGTGGCCTGAAGGACAAGACAGCTCTGGCCCTGGGAGCCATGGGGACATGGTCCTAGCCTGTGCTCCCGCCTCACAGACCTCCCTGGAACACCAGGGCCACCTCTCTGTGCTCTTCCTGTGCCCCAGTCTGCCCCCGCCACCCCATCCCACTGTGCTTCCTTCTCTTCTGTGCCTCAGCTCAGGCCTGGCCACCCCGGAGCTCTGACCTCCTCCGTCTTGGAATGAGAAACCCGCGTGGGTACCCTGTGGGTGGAGTTGCGATCATCTGTGTGCCTTCGTTCACTCCACCTCGTCCCGACATAGCGCCCAGCACACAGTAGGCATGGATGAATGAATGTGGGACAAATGCTTATGCAGAAGTGCTTGTGTGAGTCACGACGCTAAACAGAGGCCCTCCTCTCGTCCTCATGTGGAAATCCCTAGGTTGTGGGGATGGGGTGCGTATGGACTGCTGCTCACGGCTCAGGTACGTCCATGGTAATTTATTGACGGCAGTGACTAATAGCTTCTCATACGTTTGAGTGGAAGAAACAGCGAGTCCCAGAGCACGGCTTGTTTTGAAGTCTGTTTCAGATTAGGGTCCTGTTTCAAAGTTTTTAAATTTCTTTTTTGTTCAAAAGACATTTGATGAGTTGACTATTGGGGGATGTTGATCCCAGTGACTCCACAGGACAGGGGAGACCACAGGCTCCTTTATAAGCCTGCTGACTCGCCGCCTGTTCTCCATCTTCTGTCTTCCGCATCAGAAGCAAGGGTGGGGATGTTGCCTTTCCCAGCCATTGCTGTGTCCTGACACAGGGCACATGCCCGAGGGCCCTTGGTGATCGGAGGGAGGGCTGCACCAGGGACATAGGAGTCCTGGTCTTACAGGAAACGGCAAATGAATGGGGTTGGTCTGACTCCGTATTACTCCTTACGCAGATGAAAAACAAATACACATGATTTGTCACCTTAGAAAGAAGTCTAAAGGAACTGTTGTCAAAAACAGCCAAGTTCAGAGAAGCTGACGGTGTTGGTGTAAGAAGCTGTTTTCAGGCTGGCCACTGTGGCTCACTCCTGTAATCTCAGCTCTTTGGGAGGCTGAGGCAGGTGGATCACTTGACGTCAGGAGTTTGAGATCAGCCTGGCCAACATGGCCAAACCTTGTCTCTACTAAAAATAGAAAAATTAGCTAGGCATGGTGGCGAATGCCTGTAATCCCTGCTACTCAGTAGGCTGAGGCAGGAGAATCGCTTGAACCTGGGAAGCGGAGGTTACAGTGGATCGAGATCATGCCACTGCAGTCCCGCGGGGGCAAAAGGGGGAGTTTTTTTCAAAAAAAAAAAAAGAGAAGATGTTTTCCGTGAGTCAGCCCTGGTATCTGATAAGTGTCTGCAGCTGACGGCTCAGAGCTCATGTTAACCCACTTTGGGGGCTGGGGTGAAAGGCAAGAAACTCAGGCAGAACCCCTGAAGCCGTGAAGAAGGTATCTCTTCTCCTGGCTGCAAAACCTCCAGGCTTGATTGTGGTACCCTCTTAACTCTCCTGAAAACTTTTTCAAGGGCTGCAGGCCTATCACGTGCCTCTGTGCCAGCTCTTTCTCTTCACCTCCTGCCGCAGATCTGTGCCCCCGGGCTCTCCTGTGTGTCTCCCAGCTCCCCCTTTCCCTCCAGGCCCCATTCCACAGCCCTGGGCTGCCTCTCCGCCTTCTCTGGGGTGTGTCCTGGCCTCTCCTGTCATCAACACCCTCAGGGATCTTCCAGCTTTCCAGGCATTTGGAACAAGGCCTCTGTACCTTGTGGTCCCCCAGGTTCCTTGTGACAGGGTCCTGTGTCAGGATACCTGGGGCTGGGCACGGTGGTTCATACCTGTTATCTCAGCACTTGGGAAGGCCAAGGCAGGAGGATTGCTTGGGGCCAGGAGTTCGAGCCATCCTCAGCAGCATAATGAGATTCCATCACTACAAAAAAAAAAAAAAATAGCCATGTGTGGTGGCATGCACCTGTGGACCCAGCTACTTGGGAGGCCAAGGCAGGAGGATTGCTTGAGTCCTGGAGGTTGAGGCTGCAGTGAACTATAATCACACCACTCCCGCCTGGGAGACAGAGCAAGATCCTGTCTCAAAAAAATAATAAAATTTTGGGGGAAGGACACTCAGATCCCCTACTGGAGCCAAGGCTTCCTCATTCCATCAGATTCTGTTCATCCTCCAAGGCTCAGCTCAGGGGCCTGCCCCTCTGAGAACCTTCTGAGCCCTCAGCCCCCTTCCTTCCTGTTCCTGCGGCACTGATGTCGCCTCATCCTGCCCAACTGTGTAGCCTGCAGGCCTTCATCTTCCAGCTGACTGCACAACCGGAGACCTCAGATGGTATCTGGGTCCACGTATCCCACTGGCACCTCACCTGGGACGTTGTTTGCGCCGACCAGTGATAACGATGGAAATAGCAGGTGTGGGTGACCACGTGCTGAGGCTGGGTGCACGGCACTGGCCAGCCGCGATTTCGCCTCTGCCGCTAGCATCCCTCTGGGGTAGGTTAATAACCCCTGGATTTCACAGGTGGGAAATGTTAGGAAAGTGTCCAAGCCCCCGCGGAAGGTCCCAGAGCCCAAATTCAAACCCAAGTTGTACGTTCCGCTGCTTCCCTGTGCTCTGGTGTGGATTTTAAACTAAATTCCTGGCATTTAAGAACTCGAAGGCACCCCAGGGATAGAGAAGCTCAGCCCTGTCATCGGATGGGAGCTGAGACTGGTGAGGTTCTCAGCGAGGCTTTTGCGGGGAGTTGGGAATTTTGAAGGTGGTACGGTTGTTCTGACCCCAACACTCTCTCCTCTAGCCCGGCCACATACTTGTTTCCTGCTCCTACCCCCTGTCCTTCCTACCCCTTGGATTCTGGGTGTACAGAGGGGTGGACACGTGCTAAGGTCAGCCCTGGGTTAGCCTCATGTACAAGGTGGGTGGGCCTGGAGGACAAACCCGCCTGTAGAAGACACTTGAAGTCTGTCCATCCATGCTCGGTGTGGGTGTCACCTGCACACAGGTGCAGCTTTTGCTCTGGGAAACCACTTTAAATGAATTGATAGCCTCACCACGGTGGAGACATGGGTTGACTGTGGAGACTCCACTGTAGATAAATATTTCAGTGAAAGGTTTCATGTTAGAATAGCATCTGCAGCCGAGGCAGGCGGATCACGAGGTCAAGGGATCGAGACCATCCTGGCCAACATGGTGAAACCCATCTGTACCAAAAAAAAAAAAATTAGTTGGGCATGGTGGTGCACACCTGTAGTTCCAGCTACTTGGGAGGCTGAGGCAGGAGCGTTGCTTGAGCCCAGCAGGCGGAGGTTGCAGTGAGCCGAGCTTGAGCCATTGCACTCCAGCCTGGCACCTGGCAATAGAGCGAGACTCTGTCTTGAAAAAAAAGAGCATCTGCAGGCAAATAAGAGGCAGTGGGTGGGCGTGGTGGCTCACACCTGTAATCCCAGGTACTCGAGAGGCAGAGGCGGGAGGATCGCTTGAGCCCAGGAGTTCGAGACCAGCCTGAGCTGGTCATCATAGTCCCCATAGTTACTCAGGAAACTGAGGCTAGAGGATTACTTGAGCCCAGGAGTTCATGGCAGTAATGAACTCTGATTGTGCCACTGCATTTTAGCCTGGGCCACAGAGCCAGACCCCATCCTTTTTTTTTTTTTTTTTTTTTTTTTTTTTTGGGCTGGAGTCTTGCTCGTCACCCAGGCTGGAGTGCAGTGTTGAGATCTCGGTTCACTGCAGCCTCCACCTTCTGGGTTCAAGCGATTCTCCTGCCTCAGCCTCAGGAGAGGCTGGATGTAATCCTAGCTTGTAATCCATGGGGTTTCACCATGTTGGTCAGACTGGTCACGAACTCCTGACTTCAAGTGACATGCCCACCTCGGCCTCCCAAAGTGCTGGGATTACAAGTATGAGCCACCGTGCCCAGCCCAGACCCCATCCATCTCTTTAAAACAAAAAAGTACATGAGATAAATGGGGGAAACGCTCTTGAGACAAGACCAGAACGTACAGTGGCTGCTAATTTTCAGTGCCACGAGCCCAGGATTCTCCTACATCCCCTTCTGCGGTCAGGGAGGACTGCTGGCCTGTGTGTCTTCTGTGATTCCCCCCTGACTCTGAGCCCTTTGCACCTCACAGCGCAGCTAAGGTCCCTGGGGGTAAAGTGCAGAGGAAGACAGCGGCTGGTTGTTCTCTGATAGGATAAAAGCCACGGGAGCGCTTTGAAATTCTCTTTTCCTCTCTAGCGTATTTCTGCATCTTTACTGAGCCTTGTCAGCACCTTTTAAACCTCCTGTGGGATTCGAACCAGTTCCATAGATACAAGGTGTCTTGTCGGGTCAGCCAGGTGCTGCCACGGAGGCAGCACTGTCCCTAGCCCCGCACCCACAGGTTCGGAAAGGAATTGCTTCCCCCCGGCGGCTTGCAAGACCTAGTCCTTCTAGTTTCACTTCATTCAAAACACCGTACAAAGGAAAAAGGCTGTCAAAAC